TGGATCTCAATGTTCTGAGGTAAAAACACAGTTAGAAGAGACTGCAGACAGTTGAGGACAGTTACAGAAATTAGCTATTCAAGACTCCTGAATAGACATTTTTCAAAAAAGCCAGCATGGCAATTGAGTTAATGAATGTTTATGGGGAGATAGTAAAGGACATTTCTAGGAGCCGTTTCAATGCATGCCTCCCTCATAAACCTGAAGAAATGTCCACCCTATCACCACTCCCTCACACCAACTCCCCCTCACCAATGTTCCCTCTAAGCTGTGGAGTCTTGTGAGCACAAATTCTAATTTGTGAGCTACTGGCATTAAAGTTGTGAGCAAACGATTTGGCTACTGCATCAATTAGTTTGCTCTGGGGCCATCCTTCCTGAGCTAAGACAAAAATATGTGAGCGGGAGGCTAAAAAACTGTGAGCTAGCTCACACTAACTCAGCTTAGAGGGAACACTGCCCCTCACACCTCTCACCTCTTACTGCCCCCAAGAAAGCTCCTGGCAAATGTGGAGCCAGATACACCAACACAACAAGGAGGAGGCAACTTAGGAATGCAGCAAAGACATTTGCACATAGTACTCCTGCGTGGCAGTGAGCTGCGCAGGCCAAATACCAGCAAGATCACCCTGAGGTGCTCAGAACAACACAGTCTCCATATGAGCAAAACAACCCAGGAACACAAGTGGAGAGGCCGCCACTTTCATGGAAGGTGGCAGGAGTTGACTTAACAGACTACTGCTTCTTAAATGGACAGTTCTATGAGGCCTGCTCCAGAGTGAGCTCATCAAGCAGCCTGATGATCCTGGCACCTGAGGGCAGAACCACCAATGTGGTCTAGAGAGAGGTCCTTCGGTAGAGAGAAAAAAAGTATGTATGTCTCACTTCATTTCTTATACTACAATCTTCTCCATTAGAATTCCTACAACAAATGTCACATTTCAAATTTCACATCATCACTATTATAACTGGATTTACGGAGCTTAAATACCGTAACGAAGCATGGGTATCAGGCTAGTGCACATACAAAAATACCAAAAAAAGAGAGAAAAGAAATTGGACAGGTGACAACATTTAACTGGGTTTTGCTCCAAGTTAGGTAACTTCCCTTCCCTAAATACATTAAGATCTTTAAAAGATGTGAGTTCCATGTTACTTATAGAAAAGGTAATGTGAAAAGAAGCAGCTGGTGAGGGAAAAAACTAGACTTCCAGTGAAAGGGAACCTCCATTGGTGACTCTACTCACCTTGGTTTGGTACCATGATTCAGCTTCAGCTCGGCTCCTGTTGGCAATTTCCTCATACTGGACTTTCACCTCAGCAATGATGCTATTCAGGTCCAGGTCTCGGTTATTATCCATTGAGAGGATGACAGCAGTGTCAGACATCTGGGTCTGCAACTGACCAAGCTCCTGGAAAACACCCCTCCCCCCCAAAAAAGAGCAGGGTTGGGAAAATGCTTCAAATTGGCAGGTCTCAATTTGTAGGGAAGCCAGAATCAGATTGTTAGTTGCCACTTCACACACACACACACACACACACACACACGAGGACTGTGTAAAATATTATTCAACCACCTCAGGAACAGCATCCAGTTATTTTAGAATTCATTAAAAAATGGAATGTTTACAAATTTTGACCTTGAAATTTGACTGATACCCTAAGACTGGCTGATACCCTAAGATTTTGAAGAAGTAATGTGAGGCATCAAGTCTCCAAATTATTTTGTGTTTCCCTCTAAAAATTCCTAATTTGTAACAGCATCCTTAATTATGAATCTTGGGGGGCGGACAGATTAAATGAATACAGTCTGATTTTTGCAAGCAAATGTGCAGTAGGAGAATATGCTTACACATTCTATTTGCTACCCCCAAGCGATTTCAGTTCTATATATCCCTAGAGAACGAGTGACCAAGTATGTGGGATTTTCCAAGTCCTGTATAAATGTGGTACTCTCTGCAGAAGTGGATCAATTGCCTTTTCACAGGCTGTCTTCCCTTTTCAATTAGCTCAGAAGATAGGTCCTTACCTTGACCCAGCCAATCTGGCTACATGGATCTATGCCATGGCAACCTTGAGGCTAGACTATTGTAATCGACTCCATGAGTCTTGTAAACTCTAGCAGGTAGAGAACACTGCAGCTCCTTTCCTATTGGGAGCTACATGCAGTTATGGACATTATACCTGTTCTCCAGTCATTCCATTGGTTGACAATTAGTTTGCAGGCTCAGTTCAAGGTGCTGGTTATTACCTACAAAGCACTTCATGGTCTAGGACCCACTTATATATAGGATTGCCTCTGTCAATACACTCCAATGGGACAGCTTTGGTCATCTGAGCAAAACCTTCTGAAGGAACCACCTTGCAAAAGGGGTAAGAACAATTGCTGCCTATATGAAAACATTCTTTGGCCCCGTTCACACGGAGCATTTGCCATGCTAAAGATACAGATGATAGGCGGATTTTCCGGGCGCAATCACACCGCAACATCTGGGAAGCTTAGTGCCCCCGTGGCTAAACCGTGGCTTCCTGCCGAAGATGTGGAGTAAAAAACTAGTACTTACGATGTACTGGTTTCCGGAAAACGTGGGGCAAGGGCGGGCGTCTGATTGCGTTTCCACTGGAATCCCGTGGCATCTGGCGCCCGCCCATGTCCCCTTGCAAACTGGATTTTTTTTTAATTCCCCACAGGATGCACACAAATGATCATGTACATGCGCAAACTTTGGTGAGACAAACAAAAAATCCTGTTTGCCACAGAAGCAGCGCGGTGCGATTGCCAGTGTGAACGCGCCGTGCTGCTTCTTTGCTGTGCTGCAGACTAGCCGTCTGATCGACACCTAACGCCTAACCACGGGACCTCGACAGGACGTCTGATCCGGCTGCCGCACGTTACTTTGTTCTGGGGCAAACAGCAACGCTTCCCCCTGCATTTTCTGGCCCGTGACTGGGGCCTTTGTTGTCACTCTCACCCAGTGTAATAGTCTGCCTTATGAGATCAGGAAGGCTCCAACACCACTATTATTTTGCAGAATGTATAAAATGGAATGACCTGGATAGCCCAGGCTAGCCCGATCTAGTCAGATCTCAGAAGCTAAGCATGGTTGGTCTTGGCAAGTATTTGGATGGGAGATCACCAAGGAATACTAAGGTCATGATGCGGTAGCAGCTAATGGCAAACTACCTCTGAATGTCTCTTGCCTCAACCCAGTCTCAACCCAGTGTGCTACAGTGGTGAAAAAGGCAAACTCTATTTTAGGGATAATTAGGAAAGGGATAGAGACTAAAATGACCGATATTGTAATTACCCTGTATAGATCTATGGCGCAGCTTCTTTCGGAATACCGTGTACAATTCGGCAAACTCTATTTTAGGGATAATTAGGAAAGGGATTCAGACTAAAATGACCGATATTGTAATTACCCTGTATAGATCTATGGCGCAGCTTCTTTCGGAATACTGTGTACAGTTCTGGTCACCATATCTCCAAAAGGATGTTGCAGAGTTGGGAAAAGTACAAAAGAAGCCAACCAAAATGTTTAGGGGGTTGGAGCACCTTCCCTATGAGGAAAGGTGCTGAAGAGTCTGGGACTAAGGGGGCGGCATGAATGAGGTTTATCAAATTATGCACGAGGTGGAGAGAGTTGACAAAGAGACAGTTTTCTCCCTCTCCCAAAATACTAGAACTCGAGGGCATTCAATGAAGCTGATGGGCAGTAGGTTCAGGATGGACAAAAGGAAATACTACTTTATGCAGACAGTGATTCAAATGTAGAATTTACTGCCAGATTATGTAGTGATGGCTACAGGAATAAACAGCTTTAAAGGGGGATTAGATAGATTCATGGGGGATAAATCTATCAATGGCTACTAGCCATGGTGGCTGAGGGGAACCTCCATATTCAGAGGCACTAAGCCTCTGAATTCTAGAGCCAGGAGGCAACATCAGGGGAAGGCCTCGGCCTCTGTGCCCTGTTATTGGCCCTCCAGAGGAACTCGTTGGCCGCCGTGTGAGACAGGATGCTGGACTAGATGGGCCATTGGTCTGATCCAGCAGGGCTCATCTGATGTTCTTATGCCTTGAAAACCCCAGCAGGGGTCACCATAAGTCAAATGTGATTTGATGGTATAAATAAATAAACAAAATGGAACAGTTTAGGGGGGCATATTTATAAAGGGAATAGGAATGTGGTAAAACAGTTCTACAGGAGGGTACTTTCTGGATAGGTAATATGATTATAGTTTTAATTGCCTGTGAAAATATTAGGCAGTTTCTTTCCCTCCCTTTTTCCACTATGCTGTTTATTGGAAAATGTTACACTGTGTTTATTTCGTTGTTCTCTAATTGTGAAATCTAGGTTATGGGATGTGCTGGACTGGTTTGGTTTTATTGTTCTTTAATTATGTGATTCACTTAAATTGCATTGTTCATTGTATGTATTCTTTATTGCATTGTTTATCCCTGTCATCTTCCATGAGTCTTTGTAACCTGCCTTGGGGCAACAGGACTCTGTGAAGAGGGCTACCACGTTGGTGGAGTGTTGCACACATCGGAAACCCGTTCATCATCACATCATTGGAAGAACCAGATTTTCTGGAGTGGTTTAGAGAAGACTTTTCCATGCATTTTCAGATTAAGATTTGTAGGAATAGGAGTGAATTACTTGTTGTCCTGTGCGTAGCACTCCCTTTTTGTTCTGGAATTTGCATGAGTATAAAGGATTTCAGACAGCCTATTTATTCCGTTTCAGGAACTGGTTACTAACGGGTTTTTCCTGTCATTTCAGACAGAACCATTTTAGTAACTGGCTTTTAACAGAATATATTTACCTGTTCATACAATGCCGGTTGTCTCCCATTTGGGAAGCGTGTCTGAGGCGTTGTTGATGAAAACTGCTTTCCTCAGGTCTTCAGTCCCTTCTTCCGGATCTGAATCATTATAGATGGCTGTGTAAAATGCCCCATAGCACTTCCTCCAGCGACAGGTTTTTCATGCCCTTCCCCCCCGGCACTCAATCTCTCTCTCTTTTTTTTAAATGTTCCATTGGGAGCACTATAACGCTAAAAAAGGACATCAAATCAGTGTCACAGTGCTCCCAATATATATATATATATTTAAAAAACCTTCTCAAGGAGATTGTGCGCACGGAGGAAAATGGCAGGGGAAAAAAAGTGGCACAGTTTGAAATGGCCACAGCGCTTCAGAGATAGCTCCTTACTGGAAGGGAAATGCTGTGTGAAACAGCCGTCCTGTACCGGTTTTCTACATGATTGGCCAATAACGGAAACCATGTGGTTTTAAAAGGTAATCTGAAATCAACCTATAAAATTTATGTTTTTACATTACAGGAACAACATGACACTGATCCTCACTCAGGGTCAATGAGCTGATTCCCAGTTATGGGACTTCAGTCTCTTTTTGCTAGAGGCCTTCTTGGAGGTACTCTTAAAGCAAAGCACATTGGTGCCCACTGAAATATTTATTTATTTATTTATTGTTCATATTTATACCCCGCCCTCCCCAGTGGGCTCAGGGCGACTTACAGGGGCAAGGAGACCTTGCCATAATAAAAACATAGTATACATAATAGCTTAAAAACAATACAATACAACTTAAAACATCCTAAAATTAGAACAGTGGTGCTCAATAGCTCCCCTATAGATGGCAAATCAAAGATGGCAAAGATGACAGATCAAAGGTCCAGAGTTCCCAGTGATTATTTCCCACGGCGTAGGACTTCTTTGCATTATTCAAAAGTTATAGATGTTTCCTCAGGGCCTCGTCAATCATGGCAGTGGTGGTATAGTAGGACGGCGGCTCCTACTCAAAGACCTGGTGGAAGAGCTCCGTCTTGCAGGCCCTGCGGAACTGCATAAGGTCCCGCAGGGCCCGGATCTCCCCTGGGAGCTCATTCCACCAGGTAGGAGCCGTCACCGAAAAAGCCCTGGCCCTAGTTGCAGCTAGTTTGATGTCCTTGGGGCCCGGGATTGCTAGTAAATTTTGGGGCCCCAACCGTAGTGCTCTTGGGGGAACATATGGGGAAAGGCGGTCCTTCAGGTAGGCTGGACCCTGGCCATGTAGGGCTTTATAGGTAAGAACCAGCACTTGAAGCAAATCCGGTACGCTATTGGCAACCAGTGCAGCACTTTCAGCGCAGGCTGAATGTGGTCCCTTCTAGAGAGACCCATCAGTAGCCTGGCTGCAGCATTCTGCACCAGTTGCAGCTTCTGGATTTGCAGCAAAGGCAGCCCCATGTAGAGAGCATTGCAGTAGTCTAGCCTCGAGGTGACCGTCGCATGGATCACTGTAGCCAGGTCATTGTGGTTGAGGTAGGGGACCAACTGCCGTGCCCGCCGCACTTTAGCCACTTGCTTCTTCCCCCAAATAGAAGAAGAAGAAGAAGAAGAAGAAGAAGAAGAAGAAGAAGAAGAAGAAGAAGAAGAAGAAGAAGAAGAAGAAGAAGAAGAAGAAGAAGAGTTGGATTTATACCCCACCCTCACTTGGAGTCTCAGAGTGGTTTACAATCTCCTTCCCCTCCTCTCCCCACAACAGATACCCTGTGAGGTTGATGGGGTTGGGAGAGCTCTGAGAGAACTGCTCTTGAAAGAACAGCTCTGAGAGAACTGTGGCTGGCCCAAGGTCACCCAGCTAGCTGCATGTGGAGGAGTGAGGAATCAAACCCGGTTCTCCAGATTAGAGTCCACCGCTCTTAACCACTACACCAACCTGGCTCTACACCACTACACCAAACTGGCAAGAGGAGCTCTGCTGGATTAGACCAGGAGTTTGTCTAGTCCAGCATCCTGTCTTACACAGTGCTTGTCTTTCTTCTTTCTTCCTCAACACAAAAGCTGGTCCTAGCTACCCTCCACCTTGTTGGAGCTGGAGATGCTTCAGAAGACCCTGGAAAGCATCACCTTTGGGTCTGCTTTAGAGTTGTCAACAGGCCAAGAGAAAAATGTCTTGCCCCTTTAATAAAATCGTAATGTGTGAAATGGATAGATTAAGCTTTTTATGGCCTGCTAGTAAATAAATTCATCTGGTAAGTTACATCCTGTTGAGCCTCTATTAAAGTCACAGGATAACTTTTCTCCAGGCAGTTGGCCCATTCAGTGCCCATTCAGAAGTAGCTACCCCATCATAGGAACATGTTTGGCTTCGAACCATTCAGCATTTTGTAATTACCTCCCATATTAGCCATATTTTGGTGCAGCCCACTATGTTTTATCAAAATTTCAGAAGCACCCATTTGCTCAACCTGTTCTTCAGATCTTCCAGAATTCCAGCTGATCTCCAGACTGCAGAGATCACTTTCCCTGGAGAAAATGGCTGCTTTGGAGTGTGGCATTATATCGTGTTGGCATTATACCTCAATGAAGTCCCTCCAGTGGTGTTATACCATGCTGAGGTCACTCCCCATATTCTGCCTTCCCTAGACTCCATCCCCAAATCTCCATGTATTTCCCAAACTGGAGGTGGCAACCCTTTCTCTTCAAAATATTGGCAGAAGGCCCAAAACCAGAACCCAGAGCTCTCCACAATAGCTCAAACTATTTCTCCACAGAATTTCAGCCAATGATTTGTAAATCATCTTAAGCTTCATTATAATTTTTAAACTGTTGTGCTTTATTTCCCAAGTACTCAAAGAAAAGTGAATACCGCATCATAGAGGGCCCTTAGGAAGTTGAGTTCATCTGTCAGGGAGTCCACCTTTGCCTCCAACTCCACTTTGTTCATATAGACGGCATCCACATCCTGAAAAAGGCAACAAGGAACCATGTTGATCTGGGAAGTATATGTCATTGTAATCATTTTGGTAGGACATTTGGTGTGCAAAAAAAAAAAATTCACTTGGTTTGCATTCCATATATCTTGTTTAAATCGTCACCTTCTCTTTCCAAAGTCTCTGTGACCTGGGTAGATGATGCACTGACATAATGAAATTGTTGCACATGTAGCAGCTGAAAGCCCTGTTTAAATAAGCATGGAATGTTGCACAGTTCCGTTTTACTTATATGTTTTCAAACTGAATGGCTTCACAGAGGTATTAGCAGGGCGATTTTTGGGCAGGAACACACAGGAACGGAGTTCCGGCTGGCTTCAGAGTTGGCCACGCCCACTACAGCCCAAACCTCTGCATGCGTGGCTACAGAGGGAAGGCCTGGGGAGTGACCCCCAGCAGCTCCAAGGCGGGGGGCCAGGGGGGCCCCTGGAAGGATCGGGGAGGCAATCAAGCCAAGGGAAGGCATGAGCATGGCCTAATATGCTAATGAGCTGCACTGACCAAAGGCATGGGCATGGCCTAATATGCTAATGCGCTGTACTGACCAGGTGTGGCCTAATATGCTAATGGGGTTCTGCTGTTGGGTGTGGCCTAATATGCTAATGAGTTCCTGCTGGGCTTTTCCTACAAAACAAAGCCGTGGTATTAGTGTGGATAATGTGAGAACACAAGAACAGAGGAGCAGTTGTGATGGGCCAGAACAACAGCCATGGTTGCTAGGCCGAGCCTGACAACTGCCAGGAGGGTTGGGAGTGGGGATTAGGGTTGCCACACTGCCCAGTGCAGGTGGGGGGGTTACCTGTTTTTGGGTGCCCCCCCCCCAAATCACCCCCCTCTTACTGGTAGGAACCCGGAAATCATTGTGACATGCCTACAAAAAATGGAAGTGATGTAAGCATGTTGTGGAAGTTAGGGGGCAACGCTCTGTTTTTTGGGCAAAACTCTATGGTTTGAAGCGAATTCTACCATAGAGTTTTGCCCAAAAACCAAAGTGTCACCCCCAACATCCCTGATGTGCCTATGTCACTTCCTGTTTACTTATGCATGTCACAACACTCCCCCCCACTCCTGGAAAGTCCCTCCCCCATTGGCATGACGATCAAACCTGGCAACCCTAGTGGGGATATGGGGGGGCACGATGCTAGTGGCATTGCTACGTCACTTTCAAGAAACCCCAGAAGTGATGTAGGGTAGCTCTGGGGATTGCTGGAAATGCTTTGGGAAAGCATAGAGTTTCTGGCAATTCCTAGAGCTACACTACATCACTTCCAGGGTTTTCCAGAAGTAATGTATTGATGCCACTGATGTCACTGGGTTTTCTCCCCAATTTCTTTTCTCCTGATGCCACCCAGAGCAGCAATGGGCAAAGAGGGCTGCCAGAGACTTGGCCACAGCAAAAGACTTGGCAGTCCTCCTAACAGCCCATCTAGTCTAGCTCCTGATTCACACAGTGATCAACCAGGTACCCTACAAAAAGTCTACAAATCAGTCTCAAAAGTCAAAACCGCCCCCTATAGTTGCCCTAGAGGGAAACTGCCTCTGCACATGGTGGTTCCATTTGATCATCATGGCTGTTGCGGGCAGCAACTAGAAAGGTTCTCTAATAGCTGCCACCACTCTGGTTTGGGTCTCCTTGGGAGGGCCCAAAGTACCCACCCTGCCACTTTATACACTCCTTTTCCAGTAGGTCTCCCCTTATAAGTGACCGAATGAGATGTGAGGACCTAGGCAGAGTAACAAACTAGTTTTTATTAAAGAGATTTAACAATAACTGTGATTTTATGATGTATAAGAAAAATGAGCACAGTACTCAGCAAAATAAGAAATCCTAACGCATCTGACTATACTGTCCTAGTATACTCTAGGTACTTGGTCTCAGACTGACTTACTCCTTTTGGATAGGGTTGCCAGGTCCTTACCTGTTGTTGGCGTGGGGGGGGGATTGTCTAGCCTGCTGTCCTGGAGTCTGCACGCACACCACGATGATGTCACCCAGAGGTGACGTCATCGTGCAGGGCACATTGTGGGGGATGCTCTGGCATTTGAGAAAAAGCTCTATGGTTACCATAGAGTTTTTTTCTCAGATGCTAGCATGTCCCCCCACAACGTGCCCTGCGCGATGCTGTCACCTGTGGGTGACGTCATTGCACCAGGCATGTTGGTGCGGATAGGGTTGCTCAGGCAGCTGAGCGGTGGCAGATTGGGGTCCCCAAGAGCAGGTAACCCCCCACCCTATCGAGGGGATGGCAACCCTACTTTTGGATGAGGGATCCCTCCTTCTGCAGCAGCCTTACCAGCTCTGCTCCCTGGGAGTGAACACCCTCCCACTTTGGGCAAGGACTTTTATTCCTTTTTCCCAGGCACCACCCTCTACTCCTCTGCTGGTATAAGGCTTCCCTGGAGCCACTAGGCCTCCTTAGAGCCTGTAGGCCATACCACTTATAGGCCCAGGACCATGACAATGGCTAATAGCCACTGATTGATCTATCCTTCATTAATTTGTCTAATGGGCTTTTAAAGTTAACTAAACGGGTTCATTACATGGGCGGTACCCATGCTGCAGCTTCTCAGCATGCTTGCCTCAGCTCTCCAGACACTGCAGTAATAGTGTGAGGAGCAGTTTCCCATATTAACACATCAAAGCAGAAAGAAGCAGTGTCACAGCAAGACTGCTGCCAGACTAAGGCAAGAATCCATTCTAATCAGTGATCAGGTTATAGTAGCTGAACTAAGAGGATTCCCAGACAGTGCCATTCCATGGTGGCCTCAGGAATTTCTTTGGCAGTGTTTTAAGAGTGCTTCGGAAGGAGGCAGCTATTCTGCTGTGAAATACTATGAGCCACAGTGAGAAAATTATCTAAACACAACTTTTCCCAATACAGCATGTACTCAGATAACAATAAAATGTCTAGCTGTGTCAGTTGTTTAGAGCAAGGTTTTGCCCTTTAACAGATATACAGCGGGCGACTTCCTGCTGATGCATTTTAAAGGGGGAAACTATGAGTTGGGGGAGGGCTATTTCAGATTTCCTATGGGAAGGCACAGCTGTCAGATTGGTGCAAGGACCAGAGGACTTCAATATACTCAAAATGATATTGCAGAAGGCAATGTGACTCCTTATTTTCCATCAAAAGAACTGTCACAGTTTTGTCAGTATAGGTTAGAGGGGCCCTGTTTTTGGAACATGGGGATTTGTGATGTCTGTCTTGTACACAGGCTCATTTAACTGTTGATATTCTTGATCAGCAGCAACTAATTTTCCTGGAGGCCCCCATGAGAAGTGAGGTAGGGTTGAAGGAACACTGACCAAACCCCCCATCCGAGAAAATGGTCTGCCTGCCAGTTCAGTTGCTGCTACCAATATAATTTTCTCTGTATCTCTTTTGCATCTGGCCCAGATACTGAGAGGCCAGCTGACATCTTTCAGTGGGGCTGGATTTAGCCCAGGCTCTTCCAGGTGCTGATCTCCTGTTTATTAACAAGAGTCACTCAGAAACCAGAACACGGTAGCCACAGATGCAGAGGGATAATCACATGGAGTTTCAACCACATAGGAAAACAAGGGCGTACTCCACCACCCTCCCTAGATGGTGTACTTGCTCTTCACAGATGACAAAATATCCACATTTTTTGGACACAGTTACATCTATCCAAGGGATGAAAGTCGTCAAGAGTCACTAAGAAGGCCACAGTGCAATCCTATGCAGAGGTACTCTGGTCTAACCCCAAGGATTTCACCACAAGTCAGTCAGGAACAGTATCATTTGATTATACGGAGTGTGTAAACTCAGGTTCAGCCTAACCCTAATGACCTTGGGAGCACGGAACCTCACCTTCTTGAGCATGACAAATTCATTCTCTGAAGATGTGCGGCGGTTGATTTCGTCTTGATATCTGTTGGAACGAGAATGCATCTTTAAGCACATAGTAACCACTATAACTTCATGTTATTGCTCCTAGTGCGTATTCTACTTCTGATTCACAGTGTGCAAAACACTGACATTAGGGCATCTGCCTTGGTTGCAGGGGGTGGCAGCAAAAGATGCTAAAACTGGACTGCTAGAGAGCAGGTTTCCCCCTCTCTCCTGGTTTCTGTGTGCCACAATAAATGACTGCTAATTTACTTGTAGTGAAGAAAGGGCACCAAGTCCAAGTCTATCTCACATGAAAAGGCAACATCAGCATCCCACAGAAAATGCAGGTGCAGGGCAATAATCTGCCTGCAAAGCGAATTCTTCCAGATGACTCAAGAAAGTGAGGCAACCCACAAACTCCCATGGTAGACAATAAAATCCCCAAAGGCTTATTAAACAATGTGATCTGGAGGGAGAAAAAAACCTTCTCCAATTAATCTATCTTCTAACTGACAGGACTCATTTGTCTGTTGCAGTGTTGCCTGGGGGCCAAATTTGATAAGATGGTAGGAGCTCCCTGAACATAAGTGGATTTTCCCAGCATTATAAAAAGGAAAGCAACAGCCGTGCAGAGTCTTGATTCAGAGTGGGGTCATGCTGGGAGAGACGTGGCTTAAACTTTACTATGCGCATGATCTTGCTGGTTGAAACTGACCCCCCTCCCCATGCTATTACTATCCTGGAAAGAAAAAGAAAAAAGACAGGCAAAGAGAGAGTGCCTGTCTTTTCCCCCTTCTAGGGCTACCAACAGCTCAGGGGGATGTGTGTCAGTTACAACAGGCAACACTGCATGAGGGAAACTTAACCTGCTACCCCCACTTACGCCGAAGCCTAATCCAAATCAAGGCCTCATGGAACAACACTTTCCCTTTTAAGAACACTTTTTTTGGGGGGGGGGTTTCCATTCATTTATCTCCTTAGCATTTGGCCTATGAGATCAGAGATCAGTTTATGGCAAATCATTTAAATTAGATTTAGGAGCTTTCAGGTACAGCCATAAGCAGGAGGCTGGAATATATGTAAGGCAAGGCTCTGATCAGAGATGTTCTGAGATCCTTCCCTGAATTTTCAATGTTATTTTTTAAAAAATTAATATTTAGCTCCCTTATTTATAGAGATACAAGGAGGGGGGAACACTGTCTCTCCATATATACCCTACAGCAATCACAAAACCAGGCCCGTAGCTAACATGGGGCCCACGGGGCCCGGCCCCCTAGTGTTTCTTTCCTTCCCTGAATTTTCAATGTTATTTTTTTAAAAAAATAATATTTAGCTCCTTTATTTATAGAGATACAAGGGGGGGGGGGAACACTGTCTCTCCATAAAGTATACCCTACAGCAATCACAAAACCAACCTTACTAAATCAAGCCAATGAGCGCTGAAAATGGTTCAGAAGAGAAGGAATGCTGAGAACTGCAGAGTCAACTAAAAAAAGGGCAGGGGAAGAAATCAGCCTGCACAAGCTGTCCTTTGCCAGGCACATGTCCTTTGCCATGTGGACAAGATGCAGTCCCTAGGTAAAGACTTAGTCCTTCGCAGTTTGTGCCTATCCAAGGAATAGATGCTGTTGTCGCAAAATTACACAGGAGACCAATAGTGCCTTAAAGACTATGGAATTTATTTCAGCTTGAGCTTTTGTGTGTCAGAGTTCACTTCTTCAAATGCTTAGAAGTGTACATCCTTTTTTTTTTTGGCTGTCAGGTCTAGGGCTGCCAAGTGGGGGTGGGTAAACCCCCGTTTCGGAGGCCCGATTTCCGCTGCTGCGGAATCGGGCCCCGGGGGGGACTCCACCCCCAAGCGCAGCATGGCTGCGTCACCAGAGGTGACGCAACCACGTCAATCATGTGGGGGCGTGGCCCCGATCATCAGAGGGAAAACTCTATGGTTTTCCCTCCAACGATCGGGGCCACGCCTTCAACGTGATTGACGTCACGCGTCACTTCTGGTGATGTGCTGGCGGCGCGCGTGCGCTTCGTGTGCGTGCGCACACATAGAGGAACGGCTCCCGGAGCCCGGCGAGGCTCCCCCACCGGTAGGATATTTTTACTTGGCAACCCTAGTCAGGTCACTGCTAACTTATAGCACCCCTGACATTCAGAGGTGGTTTGCCATTGCCTGCCTCCATGTCACGACCCTGGTACTCCTTGGTGGTCTCCCATCCAAATACTGGCCAGGGATGACCTTGTTTAGCTTCCGAGATCTGACAAGATCAGCCTAGCCTGGGCTGTCTATGTCAGGATGTATATCCATTCAGTTAGGTTAAATACTCAGCAGAAAGGGGAGAGGGGCAAAATGTTAGAAAGAGAAGCCAGTATAAAACAAGACCCAATCAAAAGAGAAAACAGCTCATCCAGAGTATGTGGAAAACACTTCCAGCCGACAACAGCAGAGTAGAAGAAACATAAAATCTAGTGTGGAATGAAATGAAATAGTGGAACAAAGAAACATTTTCTGGGTATTTATAGGTTACTGCAAAGCTTTTGACTGTGTGGATCATGAAAAGTTATGGTTGGCTTAAAATGAAATGGGTGTGCCACAACATCTGATTGTTTTGATGCACAATCTATCCTCTGGACAAGAGGCCAGTGTTAGGACTGAATATGGAGAAACAGAATGGTTTCCAATTGAAAAAGGTGTCAGAAAAGGATGCATTTTATCTCCCTGTCCAATCTGTATGCAGAACATATAAGGAAGGTTGGATTAGATTTAGATAAATGTGGAGTAAAAATCTGTGAAAGAAAAATTAACAATTTGAGATATGCAGAGGACACCACATTATTAGCAAAAAACAGTGATGACTTGAAATGACTACTGATGAAGGTTAAAGCAGAAAGTGCCCAAGCAGGATTACAGCTGAACACCAGGAAGATAACGGTAACTGGGGAATTACATGACTTTAAGTTCTGCACCCCAGAAACCAGAAGGAGATTGAAACTGGAAAGGGCCACCATGAAGGAGCTAGAAAAGCTGGTGACAAAGGTCAAGTTAATTAATGCCATAGTATCCCCCGTTGCTATGTATGGGTGTGAAAGTTGAACAATGAAGGCCCCGGTCACACGGGCCAGATATCGCGGGGGGGGGGAGGCGTGGCTGTTTGCCCCACTGCGAAATAACGCATGACTGCGCGATCAGGCATCCCCTCACGGTCTGGTCGAGGTCCCGTGGTTGGGGGGGAGGTGCCGATCACATGATGCGCCAAAGAAGCGGTGTGGCACGGCAAACGGGGTTGTGTTGTTTTATTTAACCTGAAGTATGTGCATGCCCCGTTGGGTGCTTCTGTGCATCCCTGGAGACTTCGGGGAAAAAAAACCCTTTTCGCAATGGGGCATGGGCAGGCGCCGGATGCCACTGGAAACACGATCAGACGCCTGCCCTTGCCCCGTGGTTTCCAGAAACTAGTACCTCCGAGGTACTAGTTTTTAACCGCGCATCTTCGGAGGGAAGCCTCGGGTTCGCCACGGGAGCTCTATGCTTCCCAGATGTGGCGGTGAGATCGCGTCCGGAAATCCACCTATCTTCCATCACAGTAGCGTGGCTACTGCTCCATGTGACCGCAGCCAAAGAAAGTCAACAGAAAGAACATAGAGTCCTTTGAAATGTGGTGTTGGAGGGGAGTTTTATGGATACCGTGGAATGCCAAAAAGACAAATAAGTGGGTTCAAGACCTGAACTCTCCCTAGATGCAAAAATGACTAAATTGAGGCTATTGTACTTTGTTCCCATTATGGCTGCAATCACACACACTAAATAATTCACTTTCAATCCACTTTCAATGCACTTTCGAATTGTGTGAGATTGCAGCCTATGAGAAGACTGGAAAAGACGATAATGCTAGGAACAGCTGAAAGCGGCAGGAAAAGAGGAAGACCTAAAATGAGATGGACTGACTCCATCAAGGAAGCCACAGTCCTCAGTTTGGAAGACCTGAGAATGGCTGGTAACAATAGGACATTTTGAAGGACGTTAATTCATAGGGTTGCCGTAAATCAGAAGCGACTTGAATGCATTTAACACACACAACAATGGAGGAATGATCCTCTGCATGTGAGGAAGTGAACTCTGACTCATGAAAGTTCAAGCTGAAATAAATGTTGTTAGTCTTTAAGGTCCTACTGGACTCCTGTATAATTTGGTACAAGTTAGGAGGACTCTGTAAAGGCCTTATCATGTTAACAAGACCCACTATGGTGGATGTTACCATTGCCATATGTGGCACCTTCATATGGACATTACTATGATCTCTGTTACCATAGCTCTCCCATAAATGTGATAAGTATACTTCTGATTCCCAGCTTTGAAATATTCACTTACTTCCCTTTAAAGTCTTCAACAAGCTCCTGCATGTTCTTCAGTTCTCCATCCAGTCTCCCCCTCTCATTGATGAGGCTACTTAGCTGCTTCCTTAGGTTGTTAATGTAGGCCTCAAAGAGTGGGTCAAGGTTGATCTTGCTGGCACCAGATTTCAAGCCTTGATCCTGCAAGAGGGTCCACTTGGTTTCCAGAACTTTGTTCTGCTGTTCCAGAAAACGGACCTGAAACATGATATATGAAGGTATACTGAGTCAGACCAGGGGTCGTTTCATAGAAAAAGAGCTAGGGGAACTCATTAGCATATGCCCACACCCCCTGACATCATCGGAAGTGTGTCATAAGGCCACACACCCCGCCCTCAATGGTCCCGGCTGCTGGCCTTGCAGCTCCACTGCCGAGCCCCATGAGGGGCCTGGCGGTGGACTTGCAAGGCCGGCGGGAGTGCAAGGAAGCCCCGCGAAGGCCCTCCCTGGCCCCAGGCAGGCAGGGATGGGGAGAGGCAGGGAGGAAGCAACTTACCCTCCCTCTTCTCCTGCCTCCTCCTGGCTGAATGAGGGCCGGAAGTGGGGTGGCCGGAAGCAGGGGGCGGGGCTTCGTCATGTGCCCTGCCCCCCGTACCTCACCTGGGGGAACTGCGATGCCCCGCGATCCCCCCCCCGAAATGACCTCTGAGTCAGACTAATATTGTATACTTCAGCTGGCAATGGTTCTTAGAGCACTGCTACCTGGCATCCTTTAACTGGAAATATCAGGGACTGAACCTAGGACCTTCTGCACTGAAACTTTGTGATTCTACCAATAAGCGCTGGTGCTTTCTGAGAGGAGACATTTTTTTTAAAATGGGCAATGTTCATAGCAGAAGCATTCACAGCAGTGAAGTCATGGATCAATTTTTGTCCCAGCGCTTCTTCAAACAAGGCATGAGGCAGTGATTGGTTGGCGACACAGTAGCTGTCCAATGAGGAAGCACAGTGAAGGAGCTATATATACAAGCCTTGCCCCTTTCGTGTAAGTTTTTGCCACCTGCTTTCTTGCAGGTTTTTGTCTACCTGCCCACCCCCCCCCATAGTATCGCAGGATTAACCATTCACCCTTTGGGACCAAGCAGGAATTTTCTTGGGTTTTCCCTAACTGACAGTGGGGAAGAGTCTTTTTTTCATCTGCTTCATGATGTTTGCGGTGAGGAGAGATAAATACAGATGAATTAGGCCTTGAATGAATTTGGTAGCGATTGGGTGGGTTTCTCATGTTAGGTAGGTAAGAGCAGCAAATACCCTGAGCCATCCAGTGTGATGGAGGGCATGTCCTGAACAGACCACCACTGGCTTTATGGTGGGATGGGGCTTGGGAAGGAGCACCTTTGGTACTAACATCTTTCCAAGCCTGGTAGTGGCTTTATGGAGCATCAGGAAAGGTGGATGGGTCTTGGCCTCTCTCAGCACAATATGAAAAATGAGGCCAGTGGAAGCCGCTGACTGAGTTTGGAGCCAGGGTGGATTTGCCAAAACAAAGGCAGCCACATTTTAACATATTTAATAATTGATTATGTAGATCAGCTAATTTTAATAAACTAGTTAAACCCAAGCTATGGTCTCATGTCTTTATTTGGAGTACAATGGTACATATAGACGAACAAGTCCACAAGGACTTGTCAGGGCATTTCATTTTCCTTTCTCCTATTTTTTCTTCTTTTCCTTTCCTGAATGCCCCATAACTTCTACCCTTTCCCCCTTTTCTTCTTTCCTTTCCACTCACCAGTGAATATATTGTTGTCTGCTGCCCTGTCTTCAAATTTCCCTCTCTCCTTCTGACAGTCTCTCCCCAGGAAAAGTCTGGCTGAGTTGCATGGTGCTGTGCCAGCCTGCCCACTGGGCTGATCCAAGTTGTGTGGTGCCGGCTAGATCCCGTTTCATGGCGGGGAACCTTCTAGGACTTGCCGGAATCACTTTACTTTCCCCTGTATCCCCCTTTCCATGCTGTTTCTCTCCTCCTGGCAGTCCTCATATTCTCAGTGCTCCCTGTTCCTTCTTTCTTTCCTACCCACCAAACAACCTAGCATTTATCTGCCCCCCTTCAGCTACATTTATTATTAATTTACTTCATTTATACTCTACCTTTCTTTCCAATGGGGATGCAAAGAAGCTTAGATCATTCTCTTCTGCTCCATTTTATCCTTACAACAACCCTATAAGGTAGGTTAGGCTGACATTGTGTGGCTGGCCAAAGTCATCCAGGAAGCTTCCAGAGCAGAGTTGGCTTTTGAACCTGGGGTGACTGCTGTTGAACAGTAGCAAGCAGCTGGGCCTGGATAAGTGATACAAGTCATGTGATTTCAAGTTGCCCAGGGAAGCTGTTGGGCCTGGCCTCAATGAGTCCTCCCCCAAAGGCCAAAATAGCCTAGCAAAGCCTCCCACACACACCTTTTACTGGCAGAAGCCAAGGCTTGAAGGCTGGCAATACTGTTGTTGTTTCCTAGCAATGGCCACAACAGTAATTGAAAGGGCTTTTGTTTCTTAAAGTTACAACCACTGCTTCTAGCATTTGGGTGGGGTATATATTTCTATGATTTCATATTATGTTGCAAACCTGGGGCTTTTCTCAGGTTTGTAGAAACATATGTCTTGTTTATCGATGATTCCAGTCTCTGGGGGCACATGTTGAAAAACAGATATATTGATAAGCACTGATTTATAAAAGAACATTACAATTTATCATGCCCTTGAAAAATCTTTCAAAGGTACACTAAGCAAGCATGTGGTAAGCTGTGGTCTGGAAAGACAAAGATGGTGAAAACATCATATGATCAGCTGATCACATCTCTGCTTAGGTGTTAACATTTTTAGCTCTTGCACCTCACATATTGTGAGAAAGTGATATGTGTGATCGTCTCATTGCACACAGCAACCATTTTGTGTGGATAGAACAATACACATATTGTCAAGCATTGGTATGTGTAAATATGTAGTCAAAACAAACTTGAGTTTCTGACCATGTGTGCTGAAGCTGGAAAATATGTGTATTGCCCTGTTCACACAAATTTTATTTTATTTTATTTAAAAAAATATTACCTGCCTTTCTCTCTTGCAGAACTCAAGGCAGTTTACAATATAAATAAAATATTACAAAAAACACAATATTACACAAAAAAACCCCAGCCATTATAAAAACACATAAAAAGTTACAATTTTAAAACTCCAATTAGGACTTCCCATAATAAAAAATAAATCAATCAAAACTGCCTTCATATTTCTCCTTAAAATTGACAATGAAGGGGCCAGGCGCACCTCCCTGGGGAGGTTGTTCCATAATGATGGGGCTGCCACCAAAAAGGCTGCGGTCAAAGGAGCAGTTTGCACCGATATTGTTGTGGTTCCTTGCTGACTTAAAGAGCACGATCAGACAGCAACATCTGCCTTCTGTGCCCCAGTTGTCACCACCCCGTTCTGCCCTGTCTTTGAAGTGGAGTTAACGGACACCAGGGAAAGTCCGGTCTTTATGGATGCCATAATTCCAACTTGCAAGAGATACGGATCTGTGCCTAATTGGAATATTTTGATTGGGACCTTGCTCATACATGTGTATTTATTGTATGTTAATGAAGACTTACCTGATGTACTTGACGAATGTATAGATTTGAAACGCTGATTATATTGTCTGGAACTGCGTTGTTTCTACTTGGAATGGACCTCATTTATAACAAGTCACAGTATTTAGACGTTTGGACTTTAATTCAAGGACGTGATATTTATATAAACATTTTTTTCCCCTCTGTGAGTTTGTTCTATTTATGAAGGGAAACTGCTGCTTTTGAAATATGCTCTACTACTTATTGTGGGTTTGAATTTGTTACCACCCACTTTTGGATAATTGTTTTTTATGATATTTGCAATTCTATAATAATATATATGAATTTGGCATTATTATTGACTTTGCTTTCCATATCATTATTCTTGCATGTATTTAGTGTGCTTGGACTACAGATTTGTTTGTGATTTTCTTGCTCTTTTCTCTGTAGCCTCCCTCCCTTCTACTAGAACTTTCACTCTGCATTTCCAGCTGTCTGAACTCCCCTGTTGCGAAGTCAAGCCATTTGGGAAGTCTGAACAATCCCCTCTGTTTCCAACTCCTTTTTTTTTATGAGGTAGCGATGGGCACATAAATGCATAATCACCCCTGGCATTGTCAATCACCATGACCAAGTAGCCATTCTGGATCGGGAGTCTCCGGGGGAGTTGTTTTTGAGTGACAAATCCCCTCCCAAACCCTCTCTCCTGTCAGAGTTGCTGCTTGAGAGCATCCCATGATTATTAGATCAGTAAATGTACTGAAGTCAGTGGGACCACTCTCATGTAAATCTGCACCACCGCCTCATGTATTCCACAGAAGAGAGGCAAAGCGAAGGAGGCTAAGAGGGGCTGCAGTACTTGGCAGAGGGATTGCGGAGCTGTCAAAATAGATTAGTGCATCATTGAATGAATGCTTCTGCACATGCATGAAAGGCAATTTTTAAAAAGGATGCCGCCTGACTGCCCACTCCGTGGTTACTGTGCAGCAATAATCTGATCGGTCAACCACAGAGTGAGCGTGCGGTGAAGCCAGTTCAGGGTGGAATGTCTGATCAAAACTCTCTGTTACAAAACAAAATGGAGAAATTAGAGGTGGGGTCAGAGCATGCCAAAACAGGTCTAGTCACTGTCTCTTTGAGCATGAGCGGCACAACTCTCACTCCTAAGGAAGCATTTACCACTCCCCTTACCCACTCAGCCAGTCCCCCTTGCACTCTAGACAAGGCTAATGACTTGCGCCCCCCATTGTTAACCAATTTTCAAAAACAGATTAATTGTAGGAAAAAATGAAAAGCACAAAACTTGAAATTGTTATCTTTTTTTTAAAAAAAGTGAGAATAAGTATTACAAAAATCTTTGATTTTCTTTCTCAAACAGAAAACAGGTTTAGCACACAAATCATATTGAATAATCCTGTGAATTGTGATATTAAAATTTACGTCTCTTGAATGTTTCCATTTCAGGCACATCAAAATCTCATTTTGTGTGCCTTTTCCTTTGCAGGTTTTGTCACTAATTCCTTAAGGTCAAGTGCTGATGCTTCAGCATGTCTATTAATTTAGTTTGCCATCTTTCAGCCACCTGTGGCTGAGATCATCTACTGCCAGCCATAGTTGCTGAGTCCCAGGGGTTGTTATTGCTGACTTGTAAGTAGGGCATTCATATAGCTATAGGAAAAGGTGTGGGAAGTTCTTAGTGCAAAGGTATCTCCCCCCCCCCTGCTCTTGCTCCTCTACAACAATTATGGCATTCATATAGCTATAGGGCATTCATATAGCTATAGGAAAAGGTGTGGGAACAGCTACATAGTTCTTAGTGCAAAGGTATCTCCCTCCCCCTGCTCTTGCTCCTCTACAACAATTATGCTCTGCACATTGCTATAGCGGAATTTCTCTACTTTCCTCCCCTTTCTTGCACCCATGAAACTGTCTTTCTGCCCATTTCTTTTCAGACACAGCCCATGGCCTACATATTCTCCCTCCCCCTGCTCTTGCTCCTCTACAACAATTATGCTCTGCACATTGCTACAGCGGAATTTCCCTACTTTCCTCCCCTTTCTTGCACCCATGAAACTGTCTTTCTGCCCATTTCTTTTCAGACACAGCCCATGGCCTACATATCTATACCGATCGATACATACATAGATAGGAGAGGCAAACGAACACAGTGGTGATCAGAACATCATTATTTATTTACTTTATTATTTATTTATATAATTTATTAGTTATTTATGAGTTTACTACTTGAGACGCAAGGTGGAATACATGATATAGAACACTGTAATCAAATAGCATATCAGATCTAATAATGCAATAGGGCTAGGAAAAATTACAAAAATGCAAAAAAAGTATCAAACATGCTATGTCAAGCAATGCAGAAAATGGAATTACAAAACATTAAAACAATGCTGTAAGAGCATGATAGAACATACAACAAATCAATAATATATAGTGTACACTGTGGCATAGACTACAGTCCTGTCCCCTATAAGCTTTATAAAAATGCCCTCCCAAGCAACTATTTTACACAGTTTGCAGAATTAAAAAAAGTGTAAGAGTCTTCTTCCTAGACAGGCCCAAGAGAGACAATAACAGAACACCACTAGCGGTCACATACTGCTCTCAGCTCAAAACTGTTCAACGCATCATCAGCGACTTACAATCTCTACTGGATAATGACAGCTCCCTTTCACAAGTACTGGGGCCAAACCTTTTCTAGCACACAGACAGCCCCCCAGCCTCACCCACAATAGCACAAAACCTAATTTGAACATGGACACTGGTACCAGAGCTTACAATAAACCCAGATGCCAACTTTTCTGCCACCTACACCCAGGATTCTTTTCTAATTGAACAAACATAAGCTCAAGCAGCAGTGGTATGATCCCTGAGGTGCCCACAGGTGGGATCCTCTCCCAGAAACTTTCAATCTTCAGGGCAAACATAAAACCTGTGAATAAGATTTCTGTGGGTTAGCATATATTAGCCAAAGAAGACTTGTGCTCACTTACCTCTGGACCTAAACTCCTTATTATGTGTCTCCTATTCTGTCAAAAATAATTCCCCCAGCAGTCCCCAGAGTTCTACAGGACTATTGTGAAACACTGTCCTGTTTCTTTACTTTCTTCTGAGCCTGCCATAACACCTTCTTATTCCTTCATTCCTTGATCTCACTCTCTGCTTTACTCCAACATGATTTCACTCCCCCCTCTCCTGCTAACTGCTAATTCTATTCTAGCCAATCACATAAAGAATTCACCCTTGGAAGATTTATGACAGGGTTCATTTTTACTAGAAAATTTACACCTGATAGATGTGTGACAGATTTCACACCCTAATGCTGATAATTCTGCGCTTCTCTGAGGTCTGTGCCCTAAGCAATCGCCTAGTTGGCCTAATGGTAGTACTGGCCTTGCTGGCAGCTTTTATACCGACCACATGTAACAAGAAGGCCATGTGTAGCATACTCTCCTAGAGTGTAAGGGAGGTATGCCAAGAATGTAGTGCCTGAACAGGGCTTATATGTTAGAAGGAACAGTTGTTAAAATGACAAGAAAATGGAAATGCTGATTATGCAGTTACTTGGGCTAAATGTCAGCTTGAACTGCATGAACAATGGTTCAAATCCTAATGTTTCTTACCCAGTTATTTTTAAAGATTTGAAATTAATGCCGAATAGATAAAGGTTTGATGCAGGTTGATGGTGAAGTGAGTTTAATTCCTGCAGTATAGGAGAGGCTGATTGGCAAACACTCTGCATCATTTAAGGAGGAAGACTGTTCAGAAAACAGCCCAGCCCTGACTTTAGCTACCTGGTGGGTTGGGAAGAGTACCATCAACCAAACTGTGGGTTGCTGGAGTGGCACATCAAGGGAGGAGGCTGCAGCTTAGCACCTCTTACCCAGAGCCAATTTGGTGTAGTGGTTGTGCGCTGACTCTAATGTGGGAGAACCAGGTTTGATTCCCCACTCCTCCACTTGCACCTGGCTGGATGACCTTGGGGAAGCCATAACTCTGGCACAGCTGTTCTTGAAAAAAGAGCAGTTTCTGTCAAGAGTTCTCTCAGCCCCACCAACCTCACAGGGTGTCTGTTGTGGGGAGGGGAAGGGAAAGGAGTTTGTAAGCCGGAGTTTGTAAGCCGCTCTGAGACACCTTTGGGTAGTGAAGGGCGGGGTATAAATCCAATCTCTTCTTCTTCTTCTCTTGGCACTCTTTGATGTGCAAGTTAAGAGAAATGAAGCTGGTTGGTAACATAGGTCACATTTGAAGCTGGGGTAAATTCCCCCCCCCCCGGCTTTGGGTGGCCACTTGCTGGCAGCGGCTCACTACAAAATGAGGGTTGCTTCTTTGAAAATAAATTTTAAAGAGTCATGGAAAGTTATGAGATTTTTACTTGGGCAAAACATTTTTAGGGATTTTGAGGGAAGCAAATGTTGTAAAATAATCAAAAAGTGTTTAATACTTAGACTATTAATGGATCTTGCTCTATTGGAAAGAAGAGATTTCTTTGCTTTTAAAAAAACCTTTATTTCTAAGGGTAAAGGGTTCATGGGATTACTACAAATTAACGTAACACTAACAGCTACATTTCTAAGCTGCCTATAGTCAAACCTAGCACACAGATAATGGAGAATCTCTCCTTCTTCTTGACCCCTAGAAAGGAAGTCACCTGAAACAAATGACCAATCTGTATCACAGTAGAAGCTACTTTCCCCAGGCTAATTCCCCATTGGCTTAGTGCCAGGTATCCCTTCCAGGTCAGTCTAAACAATAGCAATACTAGGAATACAAGTTAACCCTATAATGACTGAATCATCAGACCTTGTAAGCACATACATTTCCAACAGCAAAAAGAGCTATGGCAAGACTAGCAAAATTCTATAAGGAGATTTCCAGTGCAAATACTTTTAAAATCCTTGCAACCAGAGGTCATTTCGGGGGGAATCGCGGGGGATCGCAGTTCCCCCAGATGAGGTGCGAGGGGGCGGGGCACATGACAAAGTCCCGCCCCTTGCTTCCAGCCACCCCGCTTCCAGTCCTCGCACTCCCGCCGGCCTTGCAGGTCCTCCGCCGCGCCCCTGATGTCAGGGGGTGTGGCATATGCTAATGAGTTATGCTGAGTTCCCCTAGCTCTTTTTCTACGAAACTACCCCTGCTTGCATCTCTCTATTTCTATTCTTCTACCCTTCTTCTCTCTTTGTCTTAATGCACATTTGTCTATTTTGGTGATAAACAAAAGTGTGTGTGTGTGTAATTTTTTTTTTAATTATTCATGGTTTCATAGACCATTTTGGTCCTGCTTCATTTCTTTGGCAAATTTCTCATCTTTGTTATTTTTGACATGTTTATGGCATTATGCTTCTTTAATAGCATTTATATATTGTTTTGAACCATTCATACACCATTTCTATGCATGTGATGCAGGAATAGGCATCACGTTTAAGAGCAGTATTTATATCAAATTTTGTAAATATGTTTGGGGGAAAGGATGGCCACAGTTTTGAGCTGAGTGTGGATAAATCATGAAAGAAACTTGAATTTCTGAACTGAACCAGAGTTGTCATGAAATTCTGTAACATCCCTTATCTGCCTTTCTGTATCTATAATTCTCTCTGTTTATCCCCACACATATTGCTAAAAACAAGTCATTTTTCTCTCTGTCCTATATTGGTTTACAATACTTAAAGAAACTCTTACCTTGTCAATGAAAGAGGCAAATTTATTGTTGAGTGACTTGATCTGTTCCTTCTCCTCTTTTCGCACCTGTTGGATGTGTGGATCAATTTCCAAGTTCAGAGGTGCTAGGAGGCTCTGGTTAATGGTCACTTCTTGGATGGTACCAATACCAGGTCCACTGCTACCAAAGCTTATGAAATTTCTAGGTGCACCGAGACCCCCACCGAAACCATACCCCACACCCCCACTCCCAACACCAAAACCACTCCCTCCACCAAGACCAAATCCACCCCCAGGACCACCACCCAAACCAAAACCACTACCAGATCCACTACCAAAACCAAATCCACTGCGCAAGCTGCTACCTTTGCCGATGGAAATTTTCCTAGTGCCACCAAGATTGTAAAGACTCCTACTGGCAAAACCACCTCCACCACCAGTACCAATACTGATCCTTCCCAAGCTGCCACCACCACCTGCTCGAGCAAGAGATATTGAGCTGAAAGCAGCTCGATTAGCACTTGGGGTGGTGGCAGAGAATGTGCTGAAACTCTTGCCGCCGCCACCACCACCACCACCTCCTTCACCCCCTGCTCTAATGCGGTAGGACTGCCGAAACATCTTGATGTTGTTCTCTGAGAAGATGCCACAGAGGAAGGAACCTAAAGAGCAGAACTTTGGTGGGATAACGCCAGGGTCTGGCCTCTTTTATTCTAGGGGGAACCTGGGCTTGGCTGCATCTGGAATCAGGCAATCAATTTAGTGCATTCATGCTTTTGACACACCTGGGAGGCAGGTGTCTAATTGGACTTGTTTAATGTTAATTGAACACAACACACACCTCCAGAGAGTGATCTGTGTGTGTATTGCCCGAGGCTTTAACCCCTACAGTTTGCATGCAGACCTGTAAGAAGGACAGCCAGCACCTTCTGTTGAGTAACAAAAGAACCATGTTTATTTATTTATTGACATTGATCAAAGGAGATCTGCAGTGTCCACAGGCCAAAAACCCATTCCAAACCCAGACACAGTGTAGGACATTGGTGGGATGCAGAAGAGTCAGGCCACCTCTTGTTTGTGCATCCCTGTATTTACTAGCAAGACCACCCTGGCTCCAAGCTGTAAGCCGTCACATACATAAAATTCAAGCTCCTTCTTACTGGCTCCAAGCTGTAAGCCGTCACATACAGACAATTCAAGCGCCTTCTTACCAAGCCTTCATGATGCTCGAGGGAGGTGTGTGCTACTTCCTGTCCCACTAGCCACAGGGTCTATGGGTCGAGAATAATAACGCCACTCAAGGGTTTCCTGTCCCAGGTCCATGTCTGAGGGTTAACCCTTCACCATCCAAATGATGCCCCAGGGTGCTCACCCAAGCTGTACTGTGTACCATTCAATCAACTTGACCCATACTGCTACCACTACTGCTACCAATGGCTAGGCACTACTGAAACCGGTGGATGACCTGTTACCCTTTTCAGACTCAAGGTCAAGGTCAAGGTTCCCTTGCTCAAAAGCCAGTCGAATCTGACTCTAGGGTTGCGGTGCTCATCTCCGTTTCAAAGCCAAAGAGCCAGCGCTGTCCGAAGACGTTTCCGTGGTCATGTGGCCGACATGACTAAACACCAAGGCGCACAGAACGCTGTTACCTTCCCACCGAAGTGGTACCTATTTATCTACTTGCAATTTCTTGCTTTCGAACTGCTAGGTCGGCAGGAGCTGGAACCAGAGACGGGAGCTCACTCCGTCTTGCGGCACCCGGGTCTCGAACTGCTGAACTACTGACCTTCCACAGCCTGCAGTTCAGCGTCTTAACCACTTGAGCAGACAAAAAACTCACCCAGGCTAGTGTTGTTAATCCAATGGGAAAAAATTCCTACTCAGCCCCACAATGGGCGACCAGCTAATGCCCACTCTGAATTAAAGGGAGGGGGTGGGTGTCCCCCTTGTTGGTGGTCAAAAAGAAAAGGGGGTGGGGCACATACCACCCCTTATATGGCTTCATCCCCCCACCCTCAAATGTGCCACAAGGAGAAAGCTCTAGATACCCAGGTCTCCTTTCTGGCCACTGATGCAAATTTAGTTCCTTTCCAACTGTTCCTGCATCAAGGATTCAGGAACTCACTTTGCTATCGAACTCTTCATAATGTTGCCAGTGGCTTCTGGTGTTTAAGGACAGTTCCAATTTCACTGATAAGAAAGGGACAGTGCAAATTTTGTAATGTGTCATAAAATTGGGGGGGGGGAGCTTTGCATCTGAAAGGCACAGATCAACTTTTGGTGTCAGTATTAATTTGTATATTATGATTTGACGGTTCATAATGTCATGTTGTCATTTGCAGTCATTCAGCAGCTAAAATGTGTTCATTAGATTACTATGTGCATGGAACACAGCTAAAAAAGAGAGAGAAAGGGGGTGACTAAAAGAGTCAATGGACTAGGTCCCCATCCCTATAAGAAAGGGCATTTGAGGTGTTTTGAACTATGAAAAAAAGATTACTGTGGGTCGGGGGGTGCTAGGAGAAGCAGAACTATAGCAGTTTTCTGTCCTCCAGTGCTGTTTAACTCTGGGGAATGGCAACATTATGCTTGAGGCTAGCTTTTGGGGGTGGGGCCAGGCATCATTTCTGGTTCCATAACTGGAAGTGACATCATGGTGTTACCATGACACTTTAGCAACCCTCAAAAAAACCCTCTATTGTTTCACCATAGCGTGTGCGGGGATTGCCAGAGTATCACTGTGACGTCTGGCATCACTTCTCATTCTGCAGCACCACTTCCCCTAGTTTCTCCCACTGCTGCATTAGGCAGAAGTGGGGACAGAGGCAGGGGACAGAAGCAGGAGACCTGCTCTCCCTACTTGACACTGTTACGTTAACTATGCTATGCTTTAGTATTTATGTATAGAAAATAAATATTTATATCCTGCCTTTCTGAATGGCTCAGTGTGGCTTACAAACCACAATTTAAAACTTACAGATTAAAATAAAAATCCCAATAATTCCCCTCCCCACTAAACAATACCTATACCCATTGAAAGCCTTGACCAATAAGATAGACTTACAGCACCTGCTAAAAATTTCTAGAGTGCCCCCTCCCTTCTCCTCGGGGACCCCATTCCACAGAGTGGGAGCTGCAGTAGAAAAGAGCCAGTCTCTGGTTTATACCAGCCTGGCAACCCTGAGAGGGAGGACAATTCTCAGGTTATTACCTGAAGACCACAACTGGCACACCAGAGATATGGGATGAGACAGTCCTTGAGATATGTGGGGGTCTGGCTTCTAATTTGATCATGTCTTGTGCTTTGTATATTTGTCATTTATGGATCTAAAAGTATTTGTATCCTAACTGGTGGCTAATGTAAGCCAACAGAGAACCTTAAAATAATTCAGCAAGGAAAGCCAATTAAAAATACAGCAGAAACAAATAATCTAGTAACATACACACAAAAGCCTGTTGCAAGCAACAAATGAAAGAAGGAGAAATACAAGCAGAATAATCAGAATAACAGCCAGCACCTATTAGGTGTTATATGTGGATCCAGGGGTGATTTCCACTGATAGAAATCCATCAATGGAATAGGAATTTCTTGGTTCCCCTGTCCCGCTGCAGCCCCAAATGCTCCCCAAAATGATGCTCCTATGGGACAGGGTACTCTGAGAAATATCACAACAGAACTGGAGGTCTGCTGTGGAAGAGGGAAAACTGGCAAAAATCATCTACCCCCAACCTCAATTCCATTAGTGGAAATCTATCATCAGATCTGCCCTGACCTGGATAGCCCAGGCTAGCCCAATCTTGGGAGATCTTGGAAGCGAAGCAGAGACATCCCTGGTTAGTACTTGGATGGGAGATCACCATGGAATACCAGAGTTTCTATGTAGAGGCAGGCAATGGCAAACTGCCTCTGGATGTTTCCTGCCTTGAAATCCCTATGGGGTCATATTGGCTGCAACTTGATGGCAAAAAACCCCATAATAATCATCAGACCCAAACCATGCTTTCCTTTTCTGCTATGGTCTTTGCCTGATGATGCAGTCATTAAATAGATCTTGAAGCTCACTCACTTACTCAAGAAAAGCTCCACTAAATTCAAGTCACCTCTGTGATTTAGATAATATGGACTGCAAGCTATCCCTAATTTGTATTGGGAAGGCATACATGCTGAATTATTCTTTCTTGTCTTTTTTCCCTAGTTTTTTCCCCCTTTTTCTCTTTCTTCTCTATTATGAAATTTCAATAAAGTTAATTAAAAAAAATAAATTCAAGTCAACCTATTCCCCAGTAAGTGTGTATTAATTTTATTGTAGCTTATTAAAATCATAGTCAGTTCAATGGTTCAATGGTTCAGCGTGCATTCTCAAACTACCCGATTTAAATATAAATATATCTTAACCAAGCTAAACAATTGCTCCTAATATCGTTCAAAGACAAGGCTTGACACATGTCAGCTGATTGGCTCTGATCCAGCTGTAGTCGGACTCGGCTTGTGGTATATAACAGTTACTAATGATGCAGAGAGGGGCTGTGGTGACTCAGTGGTTAAGACGCTGAGCTGCAGACTGGAAGATCTGTAGCTCAGCAGTTCGAGACCTGAGTGCCACGTGATGGAGTGAGCTCCTGTCCCTGGTCCCAGCTCCTGCCAACCTAGCAGTTTGAAAGAAAGAAATTGCAAGTAGATAAATTTGGTGGGAAGGTAACAATGTTCCATGCACCTCGGTGTTTAGTCATGCTGGCCACATGACCATGGGAACGTCTTTGGACAGCGCTGGCTCTTTGGCTTGGAAACAGAGATGAGCACCGCCCCCTAGAGTCAGATTCGACTGGCGTTTGAGCAAGGGAAACCTTTACTAATGATGCAGAATGAGCATCAAGAGATGCAGCTGGTCAGTTACCAGTGGTCTAGATGAGCAATGCGATGCAAATAGAACGTGCATTGGCTGCACACATGGTAGCCTGCTCCCACATGAAGATCTCCCGTGCTGGAATGTGGGCGGGAGAATGTTTAGCTGGAAAAGAAAGAAATTCTGGGTTGAAGAAATTCCAGAAACGATTTGCTAATTAGGTGCCTGAAAGCACAGGAGTGGATGCACATTCCTTGGGCTTAATTTAGGTGAAAAGGAAATGAACTCCCTGGTGTAAACAGATCTGCCTAGGAATCACTCAGCTCAAGGGCAGAGAATGTCAGTTTCAAAGTCTTGATAGCTGGCTTTGCTCTGTTTCCCAATATTGCTCAGAAGCAGTTTTAAACCCATGGAGCGTCTCATGATCTCAACTGAGAATGGCTCTTCCTTCATCCTATTGGAAGCTTATGCTGAGGGGCAGGGAGGGGGGACAGGAGATCCAGCCACAGCTGCTTATCAGGAGTAAGCAAGAAGAACTGTTGGGAAACAAAGATTCAAGCCAAAGTAAATCAGGCCAAAGGAATCACCATATCCCATCAGTGAATCTGGGCTGCTCCAGGGTCGTATGACTCTCCAGATAGCACGAAATTCTAGCTGCAACCTACCCAGATGTTTACCATTTGCACTGCCGCAAATTCACAACTAATCCAGAATCCATTCTGTAAGTTTGGCTCTAGTGGCAGTCTTCACTAAGACAGCAGTCGGGATGCTGTAGAG